TTTCTCTGCCTTTGTTCTGCTGCTGTAAACTGTTTATTGCAAGAACTTCCACTCATGGTTTTTGGTCATGAATTCAAACCCACCAATGTTGTAATGGTTAAGAAAGGATGTCGATTTTTTCTATAAAAGCCCTGTGTAACCTCAGCTTGGGACCAAGAATTTCAGAGCTCATCTGGGTCTTCTGATGTAATAAACCTGAGTTGTGCTTGTGCTCTTGCTGAATGTGATTTCCCCAGCATACATGTTCTCTTTCACATTAAAAAAAAATTGACCTAGGAAAGCATATATTTCTCTAGTTCGTATAATATGTATTCAATTGTTGGTATAAGTCAAATACTTTAAATACTGCCAATTTCATACGTTTTCACCACAGAGTTGATAAATCAAAATTTCTTAAGGCACATATAATTTCACATACTAATTATATTAAAAAATTACAGGTGTTATGGTAAAACATTTATTAAAGAGATTAACTCATGACTTATGGACAAAAATAATAAACAGTTTAGTTTTTCATAATGTGGATGAAAAAAAAAAATATTAAACAGCCAGGCATGGTGGTCTCAGCAGTTGGCAAGGCACTAAGCAACTCAGTGAAACCCTGTCTATGAATAAAATAGAAAATACAAAAATAAAATAATAAGGCTGGGGATGTGTATTAGTGGTCAAATGCCCCTGAGTTCAATCCCTGGTACCAAAAATAAATAAATAGACATAATAATAATAATAATAAAGAAAAGAGAAACAATGAGTAGGAGGGAAATTTAAATGTATCCCTAAGTGTAAGGATGTTTCTGTAAGGAAAGTTTACAATTATAAAGTTGACTTTTGTATGAAAATGTAGAGATCAAAGTAGATGGAAGGAAACTTGCAATTTGAAAAGACAATGAATCACAGGCCTTCAGATGTCTCAGAAAGTTTTTATTGCATCCTACCCCATCATATGACCAGAAATGTATCAGGGAAGAATTCTTTTCATGGTAAGTTCCAGAAGGACCTTCCATAAACCCCTTCACTTGGAATCACCTCTGGATGGATTTTTCTGCTCACTGATATAGCTGAAACTAGGGTTGAAGTAGATCCAGATGCATCATGTGCAAGTGTTGGATCATGCTGCTCAGGTAAAGTTGGGTTTGGAGGTGCACAGAATTCAAGAGTTACAAGGCATGGCAGCTTCTGTTTGAATTACAAAGGAAAGCATGGGGGTAAAGAACAAACACCTGTATCAGTGTCTGAACTCCTTCAGGAACCCCCACATGGGAAAATTCCTAAAGAGAATGTAGTGAAGTTACCAGAAAAACATTGCCTGGGTATCAATTTTCTGCACCATGTTTGAAAATCACTGATATTAGCATAAGGCCCTCGATTTCAGCCACTGAAACTAGCAAAGTTCCAGGACTTGAGTTCTCCAAGGCCTTGGGAGAGTACACCTCACCAGAATATACACYCGATGGTGGTCATGGGGATTTGGGATTTAATCTCTACCASTCTGAATTTCTTTCTTACTTGAGACTGGCTCCTTTCTTTCACTTCTTTATTTCTTCATTTTGGAATAGGAATGCTTGTCCTATATCATCATATTTTAGAAGTATGGAACTTTTTTTTATATAAAATAGGCCCAAACATGAAAGAGTATATTCTTTAAATCTCAAAAGAGACTTTGAACTTATAATTTTGAGTGATATTGTAACCAGCTAAATTTTGAAACTTGAGAGAATAAGAGAATTCATTTAGAATTGTGAGAAAGACATGATCTCAGGGAATGAGAGGCATGATAAACTGGATTGGATATGCTTTAAGTCTATCCCCCAAAATTTATTCATTGAGAGTTTGATCACCAGTTCAACAATGTAAATGTTGTTGGGAATTTTCAAGAGTCTTTTCTTATATTTTTATTTTTATTTCAATGACAAAAATTAGAGTGAATTTTTRAATTTGTTCTTCCTTGATATACATGACAAGAGGGTATTTTGACATATTATACATACATGGATTATAACCTATTTTAATTAGAATCCCATTCTTCTGTTGTATATGATGTGGAGTTTCACTGATGAAGGGTTCACATATGAACATAAGAAAGTTCTGTCCAATACATTCTACTGTTTTTCCTATTTCTATTCCCCCCCACACCTGATGTGTGTTAGCATTCTCATATAGAAAGAAAAATTCAACCTTTGGCTTTGGGGGGATTTCTTTATTTCACTTAGCATGATGTTCTCCAGATCCATCAATTTACTGGCAAATTTATAAATGTGTAGCCAGTAATTCACTGGAGATAAATTACAGGCCACTGATTAGGATATAATTTCATATTCTAATTATTTTAAACTTTTTTTGTACAGTCTCACATGAGCTTCTGAGAGAAACCACAGATCCAAAAAAGGACCTTCTTCTCCTTACAAAAGCCCATTTGATTTTTAAGAGTCCCTATCACCTTAACAGTTCCAGCATTGCCCAAAAGTACAAGTACAAAGTCTGCTCTGAGACTAAAGGCAAACTTAACCTGAACCTTGTGTAAATCAAAAGAAAGTCATCCAGATCCAATATATAATGGCACAGAATAAAGATTTTCATTCCACCAGGGAGAAATAGGGTGTAAGATAAAACCAAGACTCAAATTCAGCTTGGCATACAAGACCTGTAGCTCTGCATCCAGGATGTGGTGAATATGCTATGCTGATATTCTCTTCAAAGAGATTCTGTAGCTCCATCCCTATATCTTTGCTGATTGCAGACCACATAGCATCTCTTTACTTGTTTCTTCTCAAAAGTTTTCAATTTTCCTCAGCAGATGTCCCACAGTACTGGTATCTCTTAATCTCAGGTATATTMATTTCAGCTTCCTTTCCACATCTTCATGCCTCACCCTCTCAGGGCAATACACAAGGATTCTGTCCCTGAAACTCTTTCCTCATCTACAGGCCTTCCTTTGAAATTTCTGCAGAAGCCTCCTTGACCCCCTAAATTCAGCATTATGCATTCCTGAGGAACTGAAGGACACGATTAACACCATAGTCTCCTGTTGGGGTTTAAGTGTGCAGAGTTTAGCTCCCTCAGCCTGACACTTTGTAAGAAGCTGTGGCTGTGATTTAGGTCAGCTGAAGGCATGCCTCGCTAGGAGAAGGAAAGGTCCTTTTCCCCTTATCACAAGACACAAGCTTCTGYATGGTTTGGCCTAGAGGAAGAAGCTTCCTGCATACTGGACCTGGGAACAGTACATTYAGGGATTAGATAATGTCTACAAAGAACTTTGGGAGGGTACTTATCAAAAARAACAGGAACAACTTGAATTTAGCTCTGTGTACCCGCTGAGGCATGATATTTGGGCTATGTGGATGAAGTGTTACTGAAGAATTGCTTGCTTTGTTAGAAGAAGAATATAAAAGAAACATGCAAATAAAGCTCAGCATGCAGTTGCAATTGCTGCCTTGGCTCTGCATCCCCTGTGTCCCGGTGATTTCGCGACCCTTACCCAGGGACCCGAACGCACTAGACRTTCACAGTCTCCCATGATCTGAAGCAATAGACAAGCTTTCTTGTGCCCTGTTTGTAGCAGCATCTTAGTTTCTGCTTTACTCAGCATAGTGAAGCCACTTCCTAGACTCCACAATGCAAGAAAGGTATTACCATGTTCTTTTTTCAAAGTAATTTTTATTTTTATACTCCTGAGCCTAAAATGGATGTGTTATGCCCATTTATGAGCTACCTTCAATCCATATTTTCTATTTTCTAATGTACCTAGGACTTTCTTAGTGACTTTAATGCTTTTTAAAAACTACATATTCAATAGATCTAGATTTACGAGCAATTTTCTGGACAAACACCCAAGTTTTTCTAATAAAAAAAACCTTTTTTTTCTTAATTAGAAAAATAAAAAAGTTCTTCTCTGTTTTCTGCTTGTAATAGTTACAGTAAACTAAAGCCTTCAGGAATATTAATATCACTGCCTGGATTTTGTGCTGCCTTGAAATTTTCTCTGCCCAATTAGTCCATCATCTTTAAAGTCAACCTCACAGAAAGTCTCAGGGAATGGGCAAAAGGTAGAAAACTTATTTGACATAACTAATGGGAATGAACTCTAATTATAAATTTCTAATAGTCTGCCTATGCAACTCTTGAGCCCATTCTTGTCTTTGCAGACTCCTATCAGCATTCTGAACTTCAGTATCCCCACAAGAATTACACACTAAACTCCASTTACAACATTCTAAAATGTTTATTTTCCAGTTTGGATCTTTAAACTAAGCCAATTCCCAAAAACCAAAGGCCAAAGCTTTGCTCTGATATGCAGATGCTAAATCACAATAAGGGGTGTGAAGGTAAGAGTAAAAATGTTTTGGGATTAGACAAAGAGGAATAAAGGGAAAGAAGGGAAAATGGGAATAGGAAAGATAGTAGAATAAATAAGACATTCTTTTCCTATGTGCATATATGACTACAGGATCAATGTAATTTTTTCATCATGTAAGAATGGAAGAATGAGAAGTTATACTCCATGTATATATAATTTAACAAAATACATCTTACCATCATGTATGACTAAAAAGAACATATAAAAAAAGACAAATTTTCCCACTAACTGAAAAAATTCAAAAAGTGTCACAGCTACTTAAGTTAATTAAACAAATGACTCCACTTCTCAGCAAAAAAAAAAAAAAAAAATCTGTTCTAGTCAGTTTTTTTCATTGCTGTGACCAACACATGTAGCAAGAACAATAGAGAGGAGAAAAGGTTCGCTTGGCACTCATGGTTTCAGAGGTCTCAGTTCATAGAAAGTTGTCTATTGCTATGGTCCCAATATAAGGCAGAACACTAGGGTGGAAGAGTTCGGAGGAGGAAAGCAGTTCAGGACATGGCAATCAGAAAGCAGAGACAGAATTCTGCTAACTAGAGACAGACTACATACCTGAAGGCATTCTCCCAGTAACCTACCTTCTCTTACCATACCCCATCTGTGCATAGGTAGCGCTGGTATTCTTTTTTTTTTTTTTAAGTCTTCCAATGGTTTATTAGAAAGAATGTAGACATTTTAAAAAATCCCCACTGTCATGAACATAAATTGAGGTTTTCAGCTAGATATAAGCTGAATCCCCCCCCCCAAAAAAATAAATAAAAAATCCAATAGTGTATTAAAATTTTTTCACTCAGTTGCAATACTGACAGTGCAAACACAAATCGGGGGTCTAAATGTACAGACTCTCAAGCAACAATCTACAGCTTTCTTGGCCCTCCATGCTAAGACATGTAAAAGCTTAAGGGGCAAATAATGCCAAATGTATAGGCTTCAAAAAAGCCATCTAAGTTAAGGGCATTCACTAGTTTTAGCTAAGATACATCTAGAACACTGACAAATAATCACTTACATACAATAATATGCAGTAAATTTTCTGAAAAATAAACTTTAGTGTAACAATACTGCAGGGTACTCCAGAGGAAAGGCAGGTTATCAGTTTAAGGTGTCAGCCAATTTGTTTCAGCCACTCTTGAGTCCATATCCTAAAAACTAAAATTTAGTTATCTTTCCCTAAGCTTCTTATTATTCAATAATTATGTTATGAAGTAAAGGAGACAGGTGAAATGTTCTTACTTATCACAGCTGGTGTTATCAATTAACTAGGACCTCCACAGCTTCATGGCAGTCTTAAAAATGCTCATGCATAGGGATAGTGCCTTAGCTGACTTAAATTTGCCCCATACAATGGTACATAATCAACCCTTAGTGAAGCCCTTAAAAAGGCGGGGGGAACAGGTTGAAAAATGGGTTAAAGGAGGCAAATACAGCAGCTGCCTTTAGAGCTATAACTCAGGAATTTTCTCAATTATGAAACCTTGTGAAGAAGTAATTTTCTTAAAATCCAGGCGATGACAATATTCCTTACTCCAGATCTGGCATTTTTTCATCATCACTGTCTTGTGAATCATCATCTGCTCCATCTACTTCTGGTAAATCTACATCCTCATCACCACCCATGTTGTTCATCATCTCAGAGAAACAATCCAAATTAGACATGTCTTCATCTGAATCCTCTTCCCAATCTTTCCAATTACTGAAGTTCACACTAAGCCAATGAAGCTTTGCCCTTTCTTTGGTTAACCTAGGCCATGGTTGGCCAGACTCTCCTTTTCGTGAACAACATAAAATTGATCTGTCCGTTCTTTTATGCTTGGAATCATTTAGAGCAACACAGTAAAAAAAAAAAAAGATCAATTTCATTTAAATGCTTAACATTATCACTTCCTCCAAGACAACTGAAAGTCAGTTTGGATTTTTTAAAATTTACGTTAACATCTTTACTGTCTTCAACACAAAATTCAATGAAGACCTAGTCCACTTTGCAGAAGCTGGATTGTGAGCAGGGCAGGGGGACAGTCGAACCGGTGGGCTGGCCTCTCTGGCGGTGGCTGCTCTGGTCGGCTCCTTTCTGATGGGGACTCCGGGGTTTTGTCCCCAATCGCAGCCTCTAGTAGCTCTCCATAGGCCACTTTGGCAGCAGGCTCGGGCTAGATCCCCTGAATTCACCACTTGGAGAGAGCGGCTCCTCTCTCCTCTCACCAGAGAGAAGAGGAGAGTGTAAGAAAAGGGGCCATGAGGACCAAGAAAGACCGTGTGCATGCCTGCGGTGGTGAGGCCGGTTGCCGGCTGGCGCACTGCTATTCTTTATCAGTGAATTAAGCTGTTGATTAGATGAGACCTCTCATAATCTACTCATTTTACCTTGAAAATTTTTTAGTTGTCTCACACGGGAGCTTTTTGTGAAAATCAGTTTCAAAAGTATTTTTTTACTAAGAGCTTCATCTTTGGAAACTCTCACTTTAAAAAATCGAATGATCTCATTTTACAAATGAGCACAATGAGACTCAACTATCCCTTTCCCCCCAAAACAGTCTAGGATTTCTGTGTCACAACTAAGTTATCCCCTAAAATAACAAATATAATTTATTTTTAAAAATTGCCATTTAATATTTTGTAATTAGATAAAACTAGTCCGTCACAAACTATAAAACTTTGTGTTACTCTCTATACTGAGAAATACACTTATAAACAATTTCAAGAGAATAAAGAGAGTCTAGTTCATTTAAAGGTGGACAATATGCAATATAAAAACATTTAACCACTTTCCCACAAAAGAGAGTTAAAATCTCTCCTAACGTGTTTGATTCATGTTTTAGAAGTAATGTTATGTCAACTAATTAAAAAATGATATATAAAAACTTTATAAAATAGTATTTAAAAAAGAGAAGGATTCGTTTCAAAAATAAAACCCTTATGTAACACTTGTCAAGAAGTCACCTCACCTGAGTTACGACTAATTTCATTTTAAGATAACTGTTCAAGTTCATTTAGAATTAAGGTCAGGATGTGCTTTTTTGTTGTAAGGATTACTGTAATCTTAAGCAAAAATACTATACACAATTAAGTAAAAGTTTGGTATTATAAAAAATAAGTTCCTTGGTTTACAGCTATCTGAAAAACTAAATGATTTTCTCTTGTTAATTTCATTTTGTATTTTCCTTTTAAACTTTACAACTATTTCCTGTTAATGTCTTACACAATTATAATTTCTAATATAACAACCTAAGTTAAGATAATAAGGCCATCAAGGACAAACAAGATATAAGACTGACTTTCAGTATTCATACAGACCCAATTTCATAATTTCATTGTTTAGCTTATTACTAAAGACAAAAGTTAAGTCATACAATTGATGGGAGCTTAGCCTTCTTTCACTGCTCTTTTCAGCTTAACAACAACCTTGATTATATCRATAAACACATTCCTAAAGGTGATTTTTGCTCATCTTCCTGGCCAAGGGAAAATACTCACTAAGTAGTTTCTTATTGTTTAAATATATTATACCGTGCTGGGGGCTGTTTTCTAAATTTTAAAACTAACAATACTCCAGCTTATGGCAGCTCTTCTTTTCAACAACTTTACAAAAACAAAAAAGGGTATATAGAACACCACAAAATCATTTAAATCATGCTCTGTTTTAATTTTTATTTATAAATCATGTTGTCAAAGTTCTCACTCCTTCTCAGCAACACATGGCTTCTACTAGAGTAGGCCCATCGGGCTTAGTCTGGTGGAGAAACTTACAAACACGACAATGGAATAAACCATATTCCATAATAATATGGGGCAAAGGTCATGCTTGTACCTTTCAGGAAACTGAAACTCATCCTTTCTGGGTACATGAATATACTGGTCACCACCACCATGAAAGATTTTGAGCCACAGTACAGGCAACTGACTAACCTGATGCATCAGGCTGAACATATAGTCAAATAACAGAGAAGTGTGAAGTCTCCAACCACCATATTGTGACTATTTTGGCTTTATTGAGCTTTGAGGTAAGTGGAGTTCATGGGAAAACTTACTGGATCTATTTCCAGAACCACTTTTAGTACATCCAGCTATGTGGGCTGCAGAATTCATTGCAGTATTTACTAATGATATTCATAAATTGGGATGTTTTTCAAACACATTATACCTGTACATTCAATTGGATTTAAGTATACTGCATATGGTGGGAATTTACCTACATATTGGTCCCACAATGAACATGCTTGTGGTTTAAAAGTAGCCTTAGGGGAAAAGACATCATATGTGAGATTCAGGGCACTTAAACACACTGGCCCTGAACTTAAGATCATATGTCTGGGCAGTTAATAAAATGGGACTCCCCTCCAGTGTTTCCCATGGAGCATCCACGAATACCTTACTGCCCTAATTGTTCTGAAATAGTACTTAGTACTTTTCCTGAATGGATGGAATGTGCAAATGTCTTTCCAGTACACCATAAAGTTCCTGGTAATAATGGATATATTTTGGATTGGTCTCCCAGAATTGATAAGAAACAGCTCTGTTAAAATTCCATGACTCCTGGAGGATTTGTTGGTAATGTCCTGACTTTCACTGGTGGTAGCAGGCAAAAAGATTTTTGGCATTTAATAGCTGCCTCAGACTTTATCAATTACAAATGGTCCCATGCCTGATTTTATTGATAGGAGCTGTAAAGAAACCCCCTGCTATGGTCTGCAGACCTGTGTCCATCCTATTTATGTTTTAATTTTTGGAAAAGGAAAAAAGAAGAAAGACATAATGCAATGTGTAAAAGATGTAATGTGATGTAATGCATCCCTAGGTATAATATAAGAAAGGGAGAACTTGTATTATACCAACACTCTTTTGTTTTACCTGCAGCTAATATTTCAGATCCATGGTATTCTGATGCTGGAGTTCAACTCCTAAAACGGATGCCCAACTCTTAACCCTAAACTTAGATAACTAGACCCTGGTGTTCAGTAGGTTTTATTGTACCTCAAGTAGTTACTTTGATATCTATTTTGGTTTTTATTTTGACATCTGCTACAGCCTTGTCCCAAGACTTTCAAAAGGCTCATTTTCTTTATTTCTCAAAATACTTCCAAAGCCTACATATTGGTCCCACAATAAACATGCTTGTGGTTTAAAAGCAGACCTGTGTTCATCCTATTTATCCTATTTACAGTCAGGTAAACATTGATTATAAGATTGAGACTAAATTAAATGCTTTGGAAGCTACTGTCATAAGAAATGAGCTTGGTGCTCTCAAATTTAAGCAAACATTTTGATGCCATGTCAGCTACAAATTTGTTTGTGTTATACCAGTCAAATATAATGCTTTCCAATGGTATTGGTAAAAGGTTAGAAATCATTTAATTGGCATTTGGCACAGAATAATGATGGTCTATTGCTGTGGAGTGACTTCATAGCATCCAGTATACTCAGCAAAGCAGGAATGATCTCATGGTGCAACCATGTAAAATATGAAAGAGCCTCATGGGAGGGATGGATATAGATGTAAGAACATATCTGTACTAGATAAGAATTAAGGCTGTAAATGAATTTAAAAAGGTGGCCTGGAGTAGGGGGTGGGGGGACCCAGTTGTTTATCACTAGACAATTAGATTCAGTTCCTCTCTCTCAGATCTTATACTTCCCTCACCCTGAAAATAAACAAATTTATTCAACAACATCAGTTTTTGCACATGTGATTGGCAAATATAAACAGTGTTCATTATTGGTGAAGGCAGAGTGAAATGTACTTGCTCCTTGGAATACAATTTGGCAATATCTATCAGGTTTAAATACATACACGCTTAACCCAGAATATCAGTTTCACAGAAACATGCTGGTGGACATGGCCTCTCACCTTACTTGGCATTCCCTAAATATCTGAAGTCCACCCTAGGCCATCCATGCAGAACTCAAAACGATGTCTGGCACATGGACTTCCAACCTGGGCAGCCTTCAATTTCTCATTTTTCCTTCATAAGTGATCTCTTTCTTGTTGAAAATGACACTTTAACCCTAAATGGGCAAATAATCTTGCTTCCTGCTTTCTGAAAATAGATGAGGAGAGGTGAATTCTGCATCATTCTCACTCATTCACAAGCATTTGTGGTATCTCAATAAAATACTGAATTTCAAAATTTATAAGCAGAACACACAAGACTTCTGGTACAATGTGCCATATGTGCAGTGCAGAAATTTTTTAAAATAACATTCTTAAATTTTTATGTAAAAGTTATGACACTACAAAAGGTTAACAAGGCAGAGACAATTGCATAAAACTCATTATAAGTTGCCATTATGAGTCTTCAGTAATTCTCATCAGCATCGACCTGTGTAGCTTTTAATCCAGAAACTGGTGAGGGTGACATGGACTTAAGAAAAACAAACATTTAGAGAGAAAAGAAAGACAGGGTGGGAAACTGAACTCTGATTAAGAACAGTGACACAGCACTGTCACTATGTTTATCATATAGGTTTTATCATAAAAAGTTCTTTTGTGAGAAAGTTTTTGCTAGCAGACATGTTTGAAGGTCAAAGTGCTGAAGAAGCATTATGGTTATCTTACTATGCCCAGAATTCTCTTGAATCTAGGAGTCAATGTTTCCATCTCAAGGTTAAAACTGATGTCTTGGGGACCTTTGCCCAGAGAGACCAAGTTGCCTTAGCAAATGGGAAAYGTTAGCCCTGTACTTTTACACAGAGGAAATCTCAGCACAAGCATAACACAAACATGAGGTAATCAGACACCCTGATTCACATCTCCGCTCCCCACACTCATCATTTTCCTTTTATTTTGTGCTCTACAATTATCTTTATAGTATTTCAAAGTAAACAAAAGATACTTCATTAAGTGTATAAAAATTGCAGTACCTCTATCTCCCTGATGAATTAAAAAGAGCAATGAAAATATCATAAGCCAAAAAAAGCACAAATAATATTCAAGTGTGACTATTTATATACCTTCCAGATATCTTTTTATCTATGTGATAGTATGACCTGGACTCTACAATTTCCTTCAATTTTGCATGAGATGACTTAATACTTTAATATTTAACCTAAAGTTCCAAAATTACCATAGATAAATCTGTTTGATCAGTACAGTGGAAAAGTGTTTTATGTATTCTTGGTTTATGTTTGAATTAAACTGTGTTCTGAGGTATGTATTTTGTTTATTCACATAGCTCATGGAGAAATAAAAATTGGACTTATTTTATATTTTCCATTATACATGTGTTTTATTCAATCTAGGAGTCATGGAGCATTTGTGAATCAAA